AGACGTGTGCTCTTCCGATCTCCCCAAAACCCCAAAACCCCATTAGGAACGTTTGTGGAAGAAGAATAAAAAGCGAGAATTTTATAAATTAAATAGAGAAATAATATAAATCTCAAAATGAATGACAACAATAATAGGGATCAAAGTGAGTGGGAACTAGATGGCTACGATAATCAATGTGACTACTCCTCTGATCAACTTCAAAGGTAATACCTAATTTAATCAAAAATAAGTCTTATATGAAAATAATAAATTAATGAGTAACTCCCTTTCTTTAGTCTCTAAAACATTTACTTCGGCCATCGGAATGCTTTTAGTCACATTTAGTCTTCTGATAATGAGGGCCATGATTGCGGGGTCAATTTTTAACAAAAAATTAGCTCTAGTTAATCGAATTCCTGGCTGGAAAATGACTCACATTCCCAATTCTAATTGCAATAACAACGAGCGAAAATGATTGCTGAAGCCAAGCAGTAGGTTGTCCGGGAAATTATCTCAGAGAACGGTAGCCTACAGAATTTACATGGCGTAGTCGGCAGAAAACTATTATTATACAGAAAAAGGGGGATGACTTAAGCAGAGGCTTTGAATAGAGTAATTTAAAAGCTCATTCATATAAAGCAGATACCGTCCTCAAATGATTCTCAATTAAGATGCAATTCACCTATCTATGAGCAGCAAGAGTTAATTGCTAAACTGAGGAAATCTAATGGGCTAACAGTGGAAGAATCACAAAAAACTCTTTAATTAAAAAAAGAGATAGACAAATTAATGCATTAAACTTTGAACCGAGAAAATTCTAATTCAAGTGAGGACTCAAGTTCTAATGATTAATAGCAGCTTCAACAACACTACTAAAGTTCATAATACAGTGAAAGTTAGAGTCCTGTCACAAAGGAGAGATTGAAGATTGAGAAACGCTATCATAAGAAAATGCAGAGAGTAATGGACACAATGATTGAAAGAGTGGATCATCAAAGCAGCAGTTCAGGAAGTTGCTCAAGTGATGAGAGACAAAAATAAAGTACCGGGGGAAGCAGCACATTGAACTCTAAGAAAAGAAAGTACTAGGAATTCATTGAAGGACTAAAGTACAATAGTTTGGTTTAGAAGTCAACAGAAAGCAGTAGCTTAGAAACTGTGAAAGTCTAGTTGTACTAATCAAAAAGAAAACATCTAAACGAATAGGGGCCTTAATAACACCCTCAAAACACTAAGAAAAGAGCGATTAAAGACTTTCAGCAAAGGTAATATATTCTTCCATTTGAGCTTTATCAATTGTATAGTGATGAAGCTCAATTTGAGGATTCGATTGAGGCCAAACAGTAGTCCCACTACAAGCAATAAAGAGCGAAGAGACTAAAGAACAATGAATGAACATAATTTATAATGATTGATCAATCATTTTAATGAAAAATTAGTGATGCCAATGTTGCCTACTCTTCAATATATAGTGATAGTGAAATAAATTTGATTGTTTTGTTTTTTGTGTAATTATCATTACATAATAACAAATTAAATCTTATTTCTCCAATTCTAACTTCATCTTTCATGTTGGGGTTTTGGGGTTTTGGGGTTTTGGGGTTTTGGGGTTTTGGGGTTTTGGG